AAAAAAAAAAAATTGAAACTGAACGAAAACAAATAAAAAAAACAAAGAAAGAATGAGTACGCTTTTAAAAATTGTTTTGGCTTTTCTAGGATTTTTGCATTTCCATATAAATTTTAGAATCGGCTTATCAATTTTACCAAAAAATTCTTTCTGGGATTTTCATTGGGATTGCCTTGAATCCATAGATCAGTATGGGGAAGATTAAATATCTTAAGTATTTTGATTCATGAACAATGTATAGCTCTCCACTTATTTTAGTCTTTTATAATTTAGCAGTATTTTGTAGTTATCAGTGTATAAATCTTATATGTCATTTATTAATTATTTTTTGTGTTTTCTTTGATGCTACTATAAATGGCATTTTTACCTTTTTAAATTTCAGTTTCCAATTATTTATTATTTGTATACTGAAATACAGTTAATTTTTTTGATATTGACCTGAACCTCGTGACTGTTAAACTTAATTATTGGTTCTAGCAGTGTTTCCATTGAATCCTTAGGATTTTCTGTATGGACAATCTTGTTTGCCAATAAAAACATGTTTGCATCTTTCTTTTGCAATCTGTAGGCCTTTTATTTCTTTCTTTGCTGCACTGATTAGGACCCCCAGTACAATGCTGAATAGAAGTGAAGAAAGCTGACATTTTTGCGCTTTTCTTGGATCTTATGGAGAAAGCATTCAGTGTTTCCACATTAATTATCATGCTAGCTATACGTTTTTGTAGATGTCCTTTGTCAGGTTGAAGAAATTCTCATCTGTTCCTAGTTTGCTGACACTTTGTATCATAAGTAGGTGTTAAAAATGTCAAATACTTTTTGTGCATTTATGGACATCATCATATGGAAAGTGTGTTAGTTCTTTTTAAAGTCAGCTAATATGGTGATCTACATTGATTTTCAAATTTTAAGCCAACTTGACACTTCTGGGATAAACTGTAGTTGGTCATGATGTGTTACTGTTTTGATATATTGCTGAATTTGATTTGCTAATATTTTATATCTATGCTCATGAAGGGATATTGGTCTGATTTTCATATAATATCTTTATCTGGTTTTGATATCAGGGAAATGCCAACCTTGCATAATGTGTTGAGACGTATTCCTTCCTGTTCTTTTTTTTGGAATGAATTTGTGTAGAATTAATATTATTTCTTCCTTAAGTAGTATGAATTCATCAGAGAACCCATCTGAGCCTAGAATTTTATTTGTGGAAAATTG